ATCACAGGACCGAGTTACCCTCCCTCAAGCGAGCACGGAAGCTTTCAGAAGGCCACTCTAACTAGAGCCGTGTCTTCCAATCGGCCATTAAGTCCCGAGGGCAAGCTTTGTTTGGTGTTCCTAGCCCAGACGCTCGATGAATCATGAGCCAACCTACTATGATACGTTGCCAAAATAGTTGCCTTACCTGGTGGCGGACTGTTATTTTTGTCAGCCCCCCGCCTTCAGACAAGAAACTCGGAGCAGTTGATGACTCTTTCTTGTAGCAGGGCTCAACCTGACAAATTGTTGCTCCATATATGCCCAATACGCTTGTACAGGTTGTGCGACTCTGTCTTTTGGCTCAAGTAAAAGTCCGCTCCGCAGCGGACCTAGAGCTGAGTAAGATACTTTTCATGGTAGCGGGAGCCGGTGCTGATCCAGGCAGAAGAAGCATCTGGTACTTCGGTTCACGCCGAAAGGCGCGAAAGGCGCCACGGGCGCGAAGGGCGCCAAGGACCGCGGGAGGTCCAGGACCAGGGAGATTCCTCCCTGGCGCAGAGGAGCTTCAGCCGGGAAAAGGGACCGGCAGGCTCCAGCGGCTGAGGAAGCCCGCAGAGAAGAAAGGGCTAGAGGAGGAGCCGGAGGAGCCAGCTCCGGAGGAGCCTAAGAAGGAGTTCAAGGAGCTTGAGAGCAAGGAGCCAAAGCCGGCGGCTTTGGACGATTCGGATTGGGTGAGTGGAAGCCCAGGTACGACCCCTATCCGAACGAGGTGAGAGAGCAGCATCCGGAGGCTAGCAGCAGCAGAGCTATCACCCGCCGGCTGGTAAAGCCAGAAAGGACAAGAGCAAGGCCAAGGGCAAAGGTAAGCCCTCGCATTTGCGACCTCGGAGGAGCAAGAAGGGCACCTACCACGACCGGTCCGTGAAGTTCGGTGAGGCTCCATCCCAGCAGTTGCGTGGGGAGATTAAGCGCTTCAGGAGCGAGCGCGGCGTGGAGTTTGACGAAGAGGAGCAGGTTGAGGAGCAAGAAGCACCTGCTGAACCGGACGTAAGGCCGAGGAGCCCAAGCCGCTCGCCGCAGAAGAAGCGCAGGGTACAAAGGGCACTCATCCGCCGCAGAGAGCCCAGCTCCACATCTGAGGAGCGACCGGCAGCCCCGACAAGGACAGGGCTTCCTGTATTGCTGGAGGTGGTTATGAGGCCCGTGCGCTCAGTCGGATCATCACGGTGCGTCCGCTGCTGCAGAGGGACAGCCTGAACAACCCGTGCAGCTCCTGTGACGAGGGGGCAGAGCACTGCGCCCGGTGCCCCGCCTACCCTGCTGCAGACCAGGCCCAAGCACGGCCCGAGGCCACCCTTGCTGAAGGCCACACCAACTCCATTTTTGCTACAGCCGGCCAGCAAGGCCGTGGCTGGCAAGGAGGAGAAGAAGAAAGGTGGTGGCGAAAGAGAAGGAGGTCCTCTACCACCTCCGGCCTACCCTCCCGACGGGTCAGAGGAGACGGCTGAGGAGAGACCGGAGGAATCGCCCCGAGATACGGAGGCAGAGGAGAAGAAGCCTGTACCACCTAAGCTGGCCTCCTCAATCAGCCCCGGCCTACTTCTCGACGTTTGAGTCGGAGGAAGAGTCACCGATTCTTCGTACAGAGGAGGCTACGCCCTTGCCGGACGTGTAAAGATGGCGAGTCCGGAAGAGATGGCCCAGCTCAGGGCCACTGTGACCAATTGCTCGAGGAAAATAGAGCGCTGCGAGATTTGGCGCAGTCGTTGAGGAAAGATGAACCTAGGAGGCTTCTTGTTGACGCAAAAGGGATTGGTAAACCGCAGCACTTCCACAATGAAGAGCAAGGTTTCCGGAGAAGGGTCCGGACGGTCAACAACCTTGTCACCAGCATTTTCAGGAAGGAATTTGAAGCCGTGCTGGAGTGGTGCCTCGATCAGGATGAGGAGATCAGCATTGAAGCGCTAGAGGCGAAGCACGGGGAACCGGACGGTGTGTCCGGGCCGGCTGACAAGGGAGACCAGTTGTTCCGACTTCTTTCATCCTTGACCCATGGTGAGTCAGAAGACATCGTCATTGGTTCCAAATCAGGGTACGAAGCATGGAGGAAGTTGCACAAAAGATGGAACCCCCTTACGGCAGGAAGAGAGAGGAACATTCTCCGAGCTGTCTTGAATCCCGAACGGGTTAAATCTTGGGATTCAGTAAGGGCAGCGATCGAACAGCTGGACGATCTTGTCCGGAGGGCAAGCCTTATTCGAAGATTTTCAAGTTCCCATCTCTGTAGTGGTAGAATCAGACGCCACTGCTGCTAAGGGTACTGTAAATAGGATCGGGTTAGGCAAAGCTAGACATATCCAGACCAGATATCTCTGGCTCCAGGAACGAGTAGGAATGGACCACCTTAAGGTCATTCATGTCCCAGGCAAGCGCAACCGCGCCGTCATGCTTACTAAGAGCGTGCCTGGTGTACAGATGGAAGAGACTCTGCGTAGATCAGGATACGTTTTCTTGGTCGAACGCAGGGTCCCTGGTCCAGGCTCCGCTACGAGTTCTTGGGAGTTTGCTGTGCGGGTTGCGCGACCCTGTGTTTTGGCTCAAGTAAAAGTCCGCTCCGCAGCGGACCTAGAGCTGAGTAAGATACTTTTCACAACCACCACTTCAGGTTGCAACCATTGTAGCGTTCGGTCACTTAGGCAACTTGTGACATCAGTGTACATCCCGTAGATTTTAGCCCCCATCATTTGTAGAGGATTGGGCAGGTTCCGTGAAGCATTTTGACAGTACGCGTAGAACGACAAACTGTGAATTCTGACGTCATGGCCGGTGCTGATGAATGCTGACCCATTCAAGCCAGACAGTTGCTTGGACCCATTTCCTTTGTGGATGCCCCTTGAAAGTCATACCCCCAACTCTCAGCGGTTCCTTGCCCGCTCCATCCTTGTGGCCAGGGAAAATGTTCCTGGGAGTTGCGCCAATACCTTGCCGCCGATCGACACAAGCCGTGCTCATTTGTTTTTGCTTTGGTATCCTCCCAGAAAGGTCTGACGTGTGATAAGCTTTTGTGTGGCCTTCCCCACTCGCAGAACTATATGATGAGCCCTCTATCTTTCGCGGGGCGAAGGGCTCGCCGCATGGCCGGGCCACAGCGGGTGTACAAAGGATTGGGTTGGGTGCCAACCCGCAATGGGGCACTGCCGAAGATCCATGGCCTGGCCGTTGAATCGGAGCTGATTCCGTGAACCCAAAACACCTTCAAGGTGCTGAACTCATTCGTGTCTTTCGTTTTGTGGCTGAACCCAAATCAAAAGCAGCGAGGGTTGCGGCTTTGAACTAGTATATAGGTTTCCCGAACCATGTTTTCTGGTGTTGCGACAGCGCATTGAACATCTAAAACGAAATGAGGACGAGCGGAAGGCAGTTGTTCCCCCTTTAAACCAGCCAACCTGGTGCTGGAAGCACGTTGTTTTTAGTTTCATGCATAAATTCCAGAATTGGCGCAGGGCTTTGAGACCGCGGATTTGTTTGGTGGCGTCATCGGATCTGCCATAGCAAGCAGCTGTGGCCACTGCAAACTGATCAAGGCATTGATGCATGTTGATTCATGCAACTATTCGCCGGACTTGGAAACACCAGTGGGGCAACTCAACTCAGCGATGTCCTCAGCAAATGCTGCCCAACGGCCTTGGCCAAGGCAGCCAAAGCAATCTCTCCTTCAGGCGACCGCATGGATGAAGCGCTGCAGAAGCAAAGACGGGTGTTGGGTGCTTTCTTGCATGCACTGTTCCACATATCGCGGTAATCACACGACTTCCACCCGTTCCCTTGACTTGCTGGTTCTAAGCAGGGAATGAGGGAATGACCCCCTAAAAATCATCCCCCGTGGTTTCCTCTAAGGGAATCCCCAAACGGTTCATTCCCAACACCCGGAAGGTCATTCCCTACCTCTCGCAGCCGCAAGTTGAAGAAGGAAGGAGGAGGCTTATTCATTGAAGCATGCCCACTTGAACAGCCAATTCCAGGCGCGATGATCACCTTCTTTTTGCCCAGAACATGCATGCTGCGTCGACTCGGTGCGCAAAGTCTGATCAAGGAAGGTCCGGAATCAAGTTTGGATGTGTCTGTTTTAGGAGATCCGCCAAAACGTGTTTTTTCCAAATGGTTTCCCTTCAACACCATCAAAAAAGCTACCAACTCAACAAAAAAAGAAGACCTGCCTAGTTGGACCCTATCGAAAGGCACGCGGCTCAAGGCCTTCGCTTCAAAAAGAATGCTTGAGCCATAGTGCATGGGTTAAATGCTTTTAAATGTCTAAACCAAGCGATGCAGCAGTCCACACAGTTTTCGCACTTTCTATTTGAAGCTTCTGTCAGAGATGAGAAGCGATGGATTGCCTTTCTTTTGCAACCGCCCCTCGCAATGTGCAAGCCGCTCTCAAAAGCCATGGTGGTTATAGTTATTTAAAGAAGATGGACAAGGAGACCCTCAAATTGTCAGGTATGAAGGTGGGCCAACTTGCAATATGTGGATTTGCTTCAACCAGCTTTGCAAAGTTGGTTTCATGTCAAGTTCGCTTGGAGACCAGCAAGAGAGTTTAAAGGCCAACTGCCATACCCCAAATGGACATACCCAAAATTAGTGATTCTACATTTGTTATACAGGGAACATACCCCAAGATCAACCCCTATATAATGCCTTTAGGTGGGGTATGTTCATTTGGGGTATGTAAGTTGGCCCTAGCAGAGAGGCTTCCCATTTCTTGTTTGCGGGTGTCTGTACCCAGACATCATTGTGTAATACAATAACGCCGCTCACTCACCCCTTTTGAACTTTGCAGCGCATACGCATTTAGCCCTTCTTGGACTAAGGATTGAAAAAAAGGCTGCGCCCTCTTAGCGCGAGCAAGAGGGGTGGAACGTCTTGTATCCGAGGTCCGAAGCTGGCGAGGTCTGCGAATGTTTTGTTTCGTGGTCGGTTTCTGCAACTGCCGTCGCACTGAACAGCCTATGGGCAGCCAGGCCGAGAGGAAGCCGCCGGCAGAGGGATGGGGAGCAAAGGCGCGCGCAGACGCGCAAGCGGAGACCCCGAGTTGACTTGACCCGAAGATATGGGGGTAGATCGATTTATGTTCCTGGCTCCCAAAATGAGAGTGGGTAACATCTCCATCTCCAAATGAGAAGTGTTCATCCCACGTTTGATCAACCCCCAAATGGGTGGCAGGCCTTGTTTTGGAGTTGGTTTCTTTGTTTTGTGCTTCTTAAATGACAACCAGCATTTTTGTGGCCCCCCTAAAAAACCCACACCCACAAAGGTCCCTCTACATCAGACTGAGGTAAGAGGAGCGTCATGTAAATCGTCCGAACGCACCCGCTCAGTTGATGCGGGGGAACTGGTGGATCTCGCCGGAATGATGCAAGGCATTTATGTTTTTACCTGCGGCCAGTTGCAAGTGTACCGCTGTCTTCACACATGTTTCGTCAATATTCGCATTTATTGTTAGTTTGTTCTATAACTTCATAGTCTATCAGCGTGCGTGGCTGAGGCCTGGGAATGGGCAACGTTCTGTTTTGCACCGTTTGCAGGCACGTGACGTTTGCTTCCAAGGTACGGCGCAGTTGAGTCACATGTTGTGACACGGAGAGTTCTTCATGGCGGTTCATGACGGGCTGATATGCTGACATGTGTGTCAGTGCTTGTGCCTGGAGCCATGTCTTCAGGGGCTTTCGGCAATCCGCCAGTTTACTGGGCAAGCATGAGTGCTCTGCACTTGGTTGCGACATTTTGTCATGTCATGCTCACAGGCACCAAGCTGAGCGAGGGTAATCAAGAGAAGACGATGCGTTGGGGTAATTTATTTGTTGCCTTGCTTGCACCCCGCCTTCAACACAGGCATGTTAATTGGAGCTCGAAATACTCTTGGATGATGGATTTCAGTTCAGTTTTGTTTGAGGGTGGCTGGGTTCTACCCCGAATCAAATGCATCCCCTTGTCTCTATGCCTATGCCAGGCCAGCCAGATGCTTTCCACCAGGACGCAGACCCGGAAGCGGCTAGAGGATCAGCCGGGAGTCCCATTGGAGTTGTCCTCGGGCTTTTGTAATTTGAGCTGCTGTAGCTGCCTTTGTTATGTCGAGCTCTGGGGGTAAAACGAGCTCACCATGATGTTTGTTCGTCCTTTTTCGGAGATCCCTCATGTCAGGGGTTGGAATTATCATTAGATTTGTGGCTTGCTTGACCTGGCTATGCCGAAAAAAAGTGATTTGCATGGGACCTGCTCTTGGAAACAGCCCATTTCTATAAGAGCTCTCTTGCAGGAAGTTCCGTGATTGGAAGGTCAGTGTGAGACAAATCCCGGGCTGCCCGGGTGCACAGTGCAGGTTTACTTGCCAATTATTGCAAGGCAGACCCTTTTCTTTTCAACAACAACTTGAATCGGTCATGGCAGTCATGGGGAAGAAGTTTGCAAGGACAACTTGGTATCTCTTCATCAGGCCTTGCCCTTTGACTCCAGAACTGAAAGGGAAGGGAACCCCCAAACGTTCAATCTTTTGAATAGGGGTCCCTCTATCTCCCTCAGGGGATCAAGGGTCAGCTCGGGTCGGGCGGGATTCAGCGTGGGATGTCAGTAAAAGAACTCCGGGGCTCCACGCAATCACTCAGTTGAAGAGGATCGAGCCCCCCCAAAACAGCCAGAACTCCCCCTGACCGGGCAACCAATAGCTACGTGCTTTCAACATTGGGACGATGCCATGTTCTTTGGAAAGAAAGGATACGTATGCTCTCAGAATCTCGCTGGCTTCATTGACGGAGTTGTAGCCACTCATCAAGCCAACAATGTGGGCAAGCACCACGCACAGCGAAGACTAGCTCTACGTAGCGCCGTTCAAAGCTGCCGGGTCCTTGACCCCATCTGCCGCCCCGACAACTTCCTCGACTCAGGCAGATCGCGGCAGTGCGCCGCTTTGGCGCAGGGCAGCCCAAGGTGTGACGCGGGGTCGAAGTGGGAGGGGGGGGCCCGTCCCCCACAGATGCTATGACCACTGAATGGTGGTTTCATAATATGTCTAGCCCTGAAAATGTATGCAGTGTACAGAGGGTTTCGTTTATAGTGTGACTTCCAGCTCAACATGATCCGTATGTTGGAACCGAAATAACTTCGCCTAGGTGGATGTCGTAATTCGCCCCTAGCTTTACGGATTGGGGATTGATTTGATTGCTGAACTGACGGACATGGCTTGCTGCTTGATTCTGGCATTTCGCCAGCTGTTGCCAGTGACTGGTATTATGTATATTGCGATGGCACAAGAAGCTGGACATAGCCAGAGCATCCAGAAGTCAAAGCTCAGCGCACCCGCAGGGGCAGTCTAACAGCCAAGCGCATTCCGCAAAGGACAGGTGCAATGCCGCAGCACTTGGGAGCCCCCAAAATCAACAAACAACCCAAACGAGTTTTAGATCCAATCCACCAAATCAAAGTTTGAACAAATTCACATCATTCCTTTTCACCAGCTTGGCGACATCCAGAACCCTTCTGACAGCCGGACAACGATTCCTTTGGTGTCAGGAACTAATATAAATTTCGCCGACTGAAGAGCACAATACTCCATACAAGCACAATATGTTAGCACGTAGCCGGGGCCCAACGTTCAAACATCGAGACCACGGCACGTCTTTCTTGGAAGACGCGCCGAAGACGGTCGGCGCTGGAAAGCTGAGCCCCGAGGTAGAGGGCTTAAAGCTGAGCTTCGCCCCGCAGTCGGGGTCTAAGTCATTGGACTTGGCAGGGTGTCCGTGCCATGTCCCTTCTTTGGGGCCTCCAAAAATTACCGTTTCCGTAGAATCCACCCTCAAATCGCAACCTGAGGTGAAATCCAGTGAGTGTTTTCTTTTCTGGGGTGTTGTCGAGTGAGCTGGTTTTTGGGGATGATGCATGCACAAGGTGCTTCATGTATTTCGGCCATCTATTTGCTGCATCACTGCTAGCCTTTTTCCCAAACATCTAGCTTTCAGGATCAACCATGAGAAGGGCCTAACTGTTTTCTGCCGCTGGACTCATTGTTTACTGTGGAAGGCATGAGCATGGATCCCCACAGCCGGTAAAAGCCAACGTGCAGCAGGTACCTAATTGATCTTGTGGAAGACCCATCTCTTGCGTCAGATCCATAGGGTATGGCCGTTTGCCTGAGGCTGGCGGCGGATGCGACGGAGCCCAAAGCAGGCGGGTGCTCCAAGTTGCCGGGGCCAGAGGGTGGCCTTGAACAGAGAAGTGTCGAGATCCGGGATCCTAAGTCCGCATCTGGTGAGTCAGAATGTGCGCTATGACCAAATCATTACCCGTCGCTTCCCTTTTGGCAGCATCCAAAGCACACACACACACACATACACACACCTACACACACAGGTGATCAGCTCCAAACAACTCAGAAAACAACTTGTTTATTTTGTTTGGCGGCCAGGGAGTTTATAAGAACACTTGCATGCCTTGTTCCGTTGTTCCAAGTGGTCTAAGCATGCAATGCCAGCTGGTGCGTACTACATTGTGAACATCTGGGTCGCCAAATCAATTGGCATGGTAGGATGGCGGGACTTAGGTCGATGTTTCAACCACCTCTAAATTTGCCAATCGCCATTGCAACCAGGTACCACAAATTAAGATGGAACGGATGGAACACCCATTTGTAGATTCGGGGACTCTTGGTGGAGCCTTTATTTGGGGGGAGGGGGTGGCTGTAGCTCCGATAGGCACCAATCATGGGGTGGACGTGCTGCTCACCGACAGCATCCGCGACTTCAAGGCGTCCGTGGGTTCTCAAAGTTGACCGCTGAAAATGGATACTCCCTTGTAAATCCACTTGGATTCCCGAAAGAGGTCCCCCCCAAGAGGTCCGACTCAATCCTCCAAAGATTGTGTTTCTTCAGGTTCCAAGTTCGTCTGCGGGGGTATCAACATTGGACCTGACTATCCGGATCGCGGAAGACCAGTTTCCTCTAAAAGGGGCCCTCTGGTGGGTCAGGAGGGTAGTTCCCGTCAAGACCATTTTGAGAGGCCCATTGGGCTCCCGGTTGTTCACCCGTTTTCTCTTTCTGTTGGGTTTCCCACTTTAGATGGTCAACCCGAGAAAGGCCCTTGGGTCACTGGGCAACTGGAGGGGTCTGACCAATGGAGGTGGTTTGACCTGGGGGCACTTTTTTTGGACCTACTCAGTTGCCTCGTGCCGCTTCGAGGGGGAGACCCGCGTGCCTGATGTTTCCGTTGGGCTCTTTGGTGCCAAGCCGCTCAAAATCATGATCGGGGTTTTACATCGCGTGGACTCAGCTTGGACCCCGCGCGAAGTGTTTGACAGCTGATTGGCCCCACCCCGTCACAAAATCCGAAGTCTGACGGCGTACCCTCTCCAGCCATGCGGCAGCTCTCCTTGGCGGTCCCTTAGAGAGGATTACCGGAGATCCACCCACGGCTTCCCATCAAACCGCCCCTAGCGCGCTGTTGGGCCTAGGAGAAGCTGACCGCGGCATGCCGAGAAGAATGTAAGCTGGGACCTGAGACCTGTCAATTCAACCAGAGATCGGTTTTTTAGCCCGGCCCTGGGCCCCCTTTGCGGTCAGTGGCTCGGACGTTTTACGCGAGGTTACTCCAATCCGGATTCCAGCTTGACAGGGGGCCGCCGGTGTGTTTGAGTCCTTCAAATAAGTTGTTTGAATAACAGATCCGGAAGACAGAGCGGAAAACCATGGAGTCGGCTCCTGTGTCCAGTGAGGGAGTAGTTTGACTCCCAACAGGATGTGCTATTTACACGACACCACCAGGCGACCTAGCATATTGTGACAAGCACAGTACCCAGGTTGCATGTTTTGTCCCTGGAATGGAGCCTCGAGTCCCACGTAAGCCACTGCTTCTCACAGCAGGCACATGTTTTTTCCGCCTGAGGGGTGCTGAGACTTGAGTGATGGAAGGGTCTTTCTCCAAGGCCCTTGCCATTTCGAATGGGGCCAAGTGGCAAGTCTCAGACCCTTAAGGTTTGAGACACAGACAAAGCGATGCGAGCAAGCTTGTTGGTATGGCGCACATGTTTTTCTTTCTCTGCCAGTATCTCAACTACCAGTAGTGTGGCTTAGTCAGGCTGAGAAGTCAAAAAAAAGGCACAGTAGAGCATGACACATGCAGGGTCAAGCAAACTAGCGCTGATCGCTGAGGTTTTGGAAGAGCAAAAACGAGTCGGACGCCGCGCAGAAGTGCGCTGGGTTGCTAGCGGGGCATTGAGTGGTTCAATGCTGATTCATTGGTTGCCTGTGTTTGGGAGGTGTGGTTGCAATCGGTTGCCAACAACATTGCCCATATCATTGAGGCCTCGCTCATGTATTCCGATTGAGTTGTCCACAATTCCGTACAACGGAGCCTTTCACGCCGCACACAGCCGTATGTGTTTCCGCCTTACCCAGAAATTCCTTGGAGTGCTTCAGTGGTTCAACCCGCCCAAAAGGACGGGGGGCGTTTTTTCTTCTCGCGGCGCTTGGTTTCTCGTCAGGTACGCGGATGTGGCGGTGGGGTCGCGGCACCTGGTGATGGCTTACGTGCCCTCCAAGAAGGCGGGCGGATTGGGGGGGAGGATCGGGCGCCGACTCAGCCCTGCAAGGTTCGGCCCTTTTGGCTCTTGGCCCAGATTTTCAGAACTCGATTTGGTCCAGAGCGCACTTCACAACTTGTTGGGTCGATTTGAGTGGGTCGTGACCGGTGGGCCGTGCTTGAGCCTGGCACGGCCAAAACGACTCGTCATTCCCTTCCTTAAGTAGCCGTGGGAGGCGAAATCCAGCACGTATCTCTTGGGCAACAGTCGATTTTTGCGGTACTTTGGGAGATGGGGCACGGTTACGTGACCACTAGCTGGGGCTAGCAAAATTCCATTGTGAGCTCAGTTGCCAATGAACCGTCGCAGCTTTGTTCAAGTTCTGAGGTGCAAGAGATGACCCAGAAGAAGCTCACAAACACAGACGAGTTCAAGCGCCAGCTGCGCTCCCAGCTTGCAGCACACGTCATGTCACTCCGCTGTTGGTCACGTTTCGCACTTGTGTGTTGCCATAGTCCTGGATAGCTTGCGCCTATTCATGGCATGTAGAAACCTGCAACATGTTTGTGTGAGACAAGCACTTGTTGAATGTTTAATGTCCCGGACACAAAACTATCCGGGTAGCCTTGGCCCAGCGCAGGGCTTGGGCTGCTGGCGTTGATGGGTGAGCCTTCGCATTGCCTTGGAAGCAGCGAGATAATATTTGGGTCTGTCTGTTTTCAGTTCACCTTTTTTTTTAAGGGACACCACCAGGAACACCACCATGGTCCCCTAAAAAAAGGCACGCCGATATATACGTATATCCTTTGCCCATGCGTTAAGGGTAGCCTGGCAGCTTTGCCCGAAGTCTTTTGCTGATTGAGCCCTCTTGCAAGCTGGCATTCATACCTAGACATTTCAAATCGTCATTGCAGAGGAGCGTGTGCATTTGGAGCTATTCTGTCAAACCCCATCCAATGCTTTGCAGCGCTACAAACCCACGCTAGATTTGTTTTGGCTGCATTGTACCCTCAGCATCTCCCTGGGTACCAGGCGCGAAATCTCGACAAATCTGAGCAAATTGATCAGAGCCTCCAATGCTTCGACCAAAATCCAGAGTTTCGGTCTGGCTCTACCAAAGCAGCAAGGAGACTCCCAGGGAGTCTTCAAGAGCACATGTTGGCCCCGACCGGCGGAAAGGCGAAAATCCCAAAGTCCCACATCATCAGCCAAACGCAACGGCCTTGGTCGCCCCTCACGCCCCTCACGCCCCTCACGCCCGCCCGCCTTTCGCTTTTCGCCCAAAGGGAAGAAACAAACAGAATCGAAACGGCGGCCACGGCCGGCGCTCTCAAGCGCGCTCTTTCCCGAGGCAGCGCCTGAGTCTCCAGGATCCCTCGAATTGGCAGCCCCTGGACCCCGAGAGCTCCTTCGGCCAGTTCTCCTCGATGGTTGGGAGCCCCAGCTCGAGCGTTCAAGCGATCGAGCGAGCTCAGCCGCTCCCTGAGTTCCTGGACTTTCAACCTTTTTGGGAAGACCGTTTCAGTGGTAAATGACAAGTTTGGACTTGTTTTGGCCCATCCACTCAGGAAGTGAGCCCAGCTTTTGCTGGAGATCAGCCTGGCCAATGTTTGGACCTATTTGATATTTCCGTCCTATTCTAACATGATTCGGATATATTCGGATGAAGATGGTGGAAAGAATTCAAGGCCCAGGTGCAGGGTTGAACGTTGACCAAGATGCATGCGCGCTGGTGTTTTTTGATTGCAGGATCGTCCTTGGCTCCAACCCCGACTTTGACAACTTTGCATGGGTTGGTCTGATGGTGAGCGATGGGGGATAGTGTAGGATGGTTTGGGTTGGCTAGTAGAATGTATGCATTGACTTGAGGTCGGGCAAAGTGGTTGGCTAGTATAATGTATGCATTGACTTGAGGTCGGGCAAAGTGCTGACAATCCTCGAACTCTGCCGAAGAGACCTTCGGGAGATCTGCTTCGCTAGCGCAACTCCTCAGAGAAAACCCCTATCCCTCGTGAGGAAGCAAATATTCCTTCTAACGCCTGAGTTCTTCCGCCTGAGTTCTTCCGCCTGAGGAGTTCAACCCTTGCCCTGTTGTGGCCATGGCAACACGAAGGGGTCTATTTTCTTGTTTTGTCTCCGCACGGCTCAGTTTGGCTTCGGGACGGCTCGGACGCAGCTCAAAGTGGTGGAGGCTACTGAGGGCTACAAGGCGGGAGGGTGCACGTCCAGAGAGGTAGGTAGAAGAGGCAATCTTGGCTGAGGGTTGGAGCAACTCAGCAAGCAATACCTTTGCAGTTGTCGCTTCTCTAACAAACATGTGCATGGATGACACCATTTGTTTGTCTGGATGTGTGGTATGCACCACAGACTGGTTTGCCACTGCGCAGGAAGCTTGCCATGGATCATGGATCAAGGGCCTTTTTAGTCGGGGGATTCGGAGGAACGCAACAATAAGAAATCATCCCGAAAGTGGTTCAGATGGCTCAGATGCCAACCAAATGTGTGTTTTGTGGCTGGGAGTTTTCTGCCAACGTGGGAGAGGAAGTGTTACGAGGATATGTCTACTCTGTTGACTCTTGTGGCAGCCACGGGTGGGTTGAGCGAGGCGCCCATCCGTCCGGGCCGCCGCTGCGGCAGGCCTTGAACTTGCGCTACAAGAAATGGGTCGAGGACAAGCGGCAGCCGACCCTTAAGGACCGTTGGATGAGAGAAGAATCATTTCAGATCAGTATATCAGAGGCCGCGATTCGCACATCCAAGATCCCTATTTTTTTGCGAATGGGTTCGAAGATGCAGCGCTTGCATTCTACGGTAGGTGCGCTTGCACGAGGGCAAATGCAACATGCTCTTTGCTGGAGATCGCTTTCTTCTCCCCCTGGCAAGCCTCACGTTGAACTTCGCAGGACCTCAATGAGACCAACAAGTGCTTTGGATGGGCCAAGTACGTCCACGAGGCGACTGGACGCATGGGCTAGGGTCTAAAGTGGTCTGACTCACCGGGTTCAACGACCTCAAGGCTGACCATTTGTCGATTCCCGAATTCAGGTGGATGGTTTTTATGTCCAGGCTGCCAGAAGGCCAGTAACAGGAGGGCCTCCTTCGTGTTCAGAGACACCTTTGACTCAACACGAGCAGCACCGTACAGAGCCTCCGCAAAAAGCTGAAATGCAAGCCGCGAGCGCTCGCGAAAGCCTGTCGCGAAAGCTCCCAGAGAAGGTCCCGCCACGAAAGCCCCGCGAGAGCTTCCGTTCTGATGATTGGGAGTTGATTGCAGCAAGGTTTTTTTTACGCCGGCGCATGCGCGTGGAGGTCAAAGCTGTGCGAATAGCATTTTTCCCCACATCTTTGTGTGGGGTTCTTACTTTTTCCGCTCGTCGTCCGCGCGCCGCGTCTCCTCCTCCTTCTCCCGCTCGTCTCCGTCTCACTCACTCACTCACTCACTCACTCACTCTCACTCACTCACTTACACTCACTCAACTCACACTCACTCACTCACACTCACTCACTCACACTCAGTCACTCACACTCACTCACACTCACTCACTCACACTCACTCACTCACACTCACTCACTCACTCACTCACTCACTCACTCACTCACTCACGCTCACTCACACTCACTCACTCACACTCACTCTCATTCACTCACTCTCATTCACTCACTCACTCACTCACTCGCTCACTCACTCACTCACACTCGCTGACTCACGGCAGCTGTCTAGAGGGACAGGATGTTGTCGCGCGCGCGGCGGGGGGCGTGCGAAATCGTGGCAGGCGCAGCACTTTGGCGATGCCGTTGCGAAATCGTGGCAGGCGCAGCACTTTGGCGATGCCGTTGCCGAAGTCGTGGCAGGCGCAGCATTCTGTGCATCTGGGTGTGTGTTTGTGTGGCAGGGGTCGCATTCGGCAGCTGTCTAGAGGGACAGGATGTTGTCGCGCGCGCGGCGGGGGGCGTGCGAAATCGTGGCAGGCGCAGCACTTTGGCGATGCCGTTGCGAAATCGTGGCAGGCGCAGCACTTTGGCGATGCCGTTGCCGAAGTCGTGGCAGGCGCAGCATTCTGTGCATCTGGGTGTGTGTTTGTGTGGCAGGGGTCGCATTCGGCAGCTGTCTAGAGGGACAGGATGTTGTCGCGCGCGCGGCGGGGGGTGTGCGAAATCGTGGCAGGCGCAGCACTTTGGCGATGCCGTTGCGAAATCGTGGCAGGCGCAGCACTTTGGCGATGCCGTTGCCGAAGTCGTGGCAGGCGCAGCATTCTGTGCATCTGGGTGTGTGTTTGTGTGGCAGGGGTCGCATTCGGCAGCTGTCTAGAGGGACAGGATGTTGTCGCGCGCGCGGCGGGGGGCGTGCGAAATCGTGGCAGGCGCAGCACTTTGGCGATGCCGTTGCGAAATCGTGGCAGGCGCAGCACTTTGGCGATGCCGTTGCCGAAGTCGTGGCAGGCGCAGCATTCTGTGCATCTGGGTGTGTGTTTGTGTGGCAGGGGTCGCATTCGGCAGCTGTCTAGAGGGACAGGATGTTGTCGCGCGCGCGGCGGGGGGTGTGCGAAATCGTGGCAGGCGCAGCACTTTGGCGATGCCGTTGCGAAATCGTGGCAGGCGCAGCACTTTGGCGATGCCGTTGCCGAAGTCGTGGCAGGCGCAGCATTCTGTGCATCTGGGTGTGTGTTTGTGTGGCAGGGGTCGCATTCGGCAGCTGTCTAGAGGGACAGGATGTTGTCGCGCGCGCGGCGGGGGGCGTGCGAAATCGTGGCAGGCGCAGCACTTTGGCGATGCCGTTGCGAAATCGTGGCAGGCGCAGCACTTTGGCGATGCCGTTGCCGAAGTCGTGGCAGGCGCAGCATTCTGTGCATCTGGGTGTGTGTTTGTGTGGCAGGGGTCGCATTCGGCAGCTGTCTAGAGGGACAGGATGTTGTCGCGCGCGCGGCGGGGGGTGTGCGAAATCGTGGCAGGCGCAGCACTTTGGCGATGCCGTTGCGAAATCGTGGCAGGCGCAGCACTTTGGCGATGCCGTTGCCGAAGTCGTGGCAGGCGCAGCATTCTGTGCATCTGGCTGTGTGTGTTTGTGTGGCAGGGGTCATTCGGCAGCTGTCTAGAGGGACAGGATGTTGTCGCGCGCGCGGGGGGTGTGCGAAATCGTGGCAGGCGCAGCACTTTGGCGATGCCGTTGCGAAATCGTGGCAGGCACAGCACTTTGGCGATGCCGTTGCCGAAGTCGTGGCAGGCGCTGCATTCTGTGCATCTGGGTGCTCTGTAATCGCATCCATACAAGGGGCGCACGGTACATGTGTGTGGACATTTGAACTCACATCCTTGGGAAAAACATAGCATGTGGGGTTATCCGGTCCTTTAATTTTCTTTTATATTTTGCATTTCGGCGTAAACGTTTCCAATCAAAAGAACATTGTTTTCCGCGAAAGCTGAGGGAAACAGTGCCCGCGAAAGCAAACCGTGTGGTCGCGAAAGCATCCCGCAAGAGTCCGCGAAAACCTCATAGCAGCACTTGTTACACGAGCTTTTGGCATTGCTCACATGTCTTAGCAGAGTAGACAGGCCCCAGAGGAGGTAAGGAACTGATTCGACGGTTGACAATGTGGGGACAGCATGTCTATGAAGTTCAAGATGGATATGGGTCAAATTAAACCACCAGGGGACTGCAGGATGTAGTCCTTGTTTCCATTTACCACGGTTCCATTTTGTACCTATGTTTGACCCACACCCATATATGGAACAGCTTGAAAACTCGTTTGCGGACTCCTACTCACACGAGACCCCGCAAGGACTTGGTCCCGCCAGGCATTGAGCTGCATTGAGAACACAGGGAGCTTTGAACCTACAGAGGTTTAGTATGTTGGCACGTTTTGCTTTGCTTTGCCTTGCCTGTTTGTTTGTTTGTTTGTTTGTTTGTTTGTTTGTTTATTTATTCATTTGTTTACTTATTTATGTTCATTTGTTTGTTTGTTAGTTTGTTTATATTTATTTGTTTACTTGTTTATTTGTTTATTTGTTTGAGGGTACCCCTTTTCGGGGTAAGTTGGTTTAAAGGGAAACCAACGGGACAATCACCTGGTTTTGGGGGCCCGTGACTTTGACGCGTACCCACATGGAGCCGCAATCAACAAGCCGGAATCTAATCCACTGGATGGCCTCCTGGCTGCGACCTTTGTCAGCATGCAACTCGAAAGCTGATTGTATAGGTCCACCCATGGCCATGTTGCACCTTTTTGGCCTGTTTCCCGCAATTAAGCCACAACATACAGTTACTTAACCCATCAACTAGGGGTTCATAGCAGGGGTTCATATATGGACGTATACATTCAGCTTTTTTGAGCAACATCTTGTGCAGCAAATTGCCGGCCATGCGGTTAGAGCACCGAAGCCATGTCCAAGCCTGGCACCCTTTTTCTTGCCAGGACGACTCCAAATCCTTGGAGTGGCGCCCGGCCATTGTCAGCAAAGGCGAGCCGTTTGACAATATCAAGAGCGCTGGCCAATTCCCAACCAAAGAAATTGCCGGAGCCAGTTAAAGCTTCCACAGCCAACGGCTGCTGTTTTCACGCGGGCAAAGAGAGAGACCCGCCTCTTTCAGTCTGAAGCCACACGTCGTACCCATTTTCCAGCGGACAGGGGGCTTCCCGAAAAGGAAAGTAGTCAGTAGTCTTCCAAAACCCTGTTAGCTTCCATGGTTGTTGGAGGGTATCAACAAATTTGTTTTGCGGCCTTAAAGGGAAGCCAGAAGGACAACGATCATTTTAGGGGGCTCGAAATCCTGAATAAGGACGAGCCGCCCATGTTGCATCAATAGTTCGGTTTTGCTTGGCAAGAGAACTGCGTGGCCAGTCATGGCTTTGACAGCGAGCCAGGCAAAGAGGATCCTACCAAGTTCGCCGTGAAGTGGGTCTATCCGCCGTCCGCATGCCGAGACTCTCTCGCCATGGTTTGCTTCCATGTTTCCACAACTTGCTTGCTGTCCTTTTCCAGACTCTTTGTTCAGGTTTGGCCACATGAAGTAATGTCGTGCCATCTTCCATCACTCTAGTGAAATGGGTTATGCTGCCTCAATGCTTCGCAGTTCACCTTAGTGCCGCCTGTGGTTTTCGAGGCCTACAAAAGGCGAAGAGAAGACGTCATCGACGGAGCTGGACAAGACAGATGCGCCACCTGCGAGCTTCCAGCGAGAATGCGTGGGGCAAGGTCCGTGCAACCTGCGTTTGGGTGCTTGGGGCCAACAGGCCACAAACCAAAAGATTCGATACAGCGTTGTGGGAATTAAGGGGTTGGTTGCCAGTGTTATGATACCAGCGAACGTTTTTTGAATGAGAATGAGTGATGAAAAAGGCCTGCCAATTCAGCACCGAAGTAGTCAATCGCCATAGCGCTGCTTCGATTGGAAGTTGCTAGCGACTACTTGCTTCTGGTCTTTGATGAATTCAAGAAGGACATGCAATTAGCACGCGCCAGGACCGGTTTTTCAGTTTGTCCATGCGCCATGGTTTGCCGCTGGCAATCACTGCCATTCCGGCGATTTGGAATCACCGTATGGTCCACCAAGCGTTCTTTTGGTTTACAGTAGCCAACAAATAGTTCCCTATCCTTATTCCCTTCAATCCTGAACTGCAAACCCGCACTAGGCCCTGTGTGTGCTCCCCACAATCTACGAGTAATACTCTCCGCGCCCAAAACAACAGACAAGAAAGCAAGCCAGCCAGCCAGCCAGCCAGCCAGCCAGCCAGCCAGCCAGCCAGCCAGCCAGCCAGCCAGCCAGCCAGCCAGCCAGCCAGCAGCCAGCAAGCAAGCAAGCAAGCAAGCTGGCCAGACAGCAAGCAGGCACGCAAGCCAGCCAGCAAGCAAGCAAGCAAACAACCCTTACAATTAACCAGTCAGAAGCAACTCACCTACAACTGAATCAATTTTATTTGCCAGGTACTCCTCGCGCCCCGAGCCCCGAAGATCGATGACCAGACGCATGAGCGGCACAAGTCCATCCTGCCACAGGCTGGGACTGTGTGGCTAGACTTTCTCTTCATTGGATGTTCAACGAGGGGAATCCATAGCTAAGTGCTTACACGATGCTTTCCTCTAGTTACCTAGTACAGTGGTAACTGGAAGGCACTGGGTACGGTACAAACAGTGAGGACGAACTTAGTTTTGGATCCAAAGGTCAAAGGCATCCACAATTCTGGAAGATGTGTTTGAGTGGGGGAACAAAAAGAAACGGTTCTGCGCCCGTGTTTATCCCTTTTCTGCGGTTGGGGAACCCTTCCTTTTCACCCCTCCCTCGGGTCGAAAGGCGACGCTTGAGGCAAAGCTTCTGCGGTCCTCGGGGAAGTCGGACTGGGAGATCGAGGCTTACCTCAACAAGATCCTGGAGCGACAGCTTGGGGCTCGTTTTTTTTTTTTTACTGCTGGCAGTCCGGTGGCCATCAACACTTGGGACCAGAGGACGGTCTAGCAGTGTTTGTTGACAGTTTTTGCTTATGTCGGGCAAGCAAAGTCGAGGGTGTTGCCGGTGTTTGCCCTGGGAACTTGCGGCATTTTTGTTTCATTAAAGTGAACTCGCGGTTTTTAGTCAAGTTATGTGTTCCGCCAAGCATGATTCCAATTTGTCAGTGTACGAAAGAGATGCTGCAATGCTGCAACCTGGATGCAATATTCCTACCAGCCAATGGCATTTACTCGTACACATTTGAATGTTGATGTAGCTGCTTGCTTCTTTGGTGTGTTTGTAACTTGACACGTTTGGCTCACGTTTGGGGATGTGTGTCACCCCAACGTTGGCTCAGCCGCCGACAACGAGGTGGGACGAGGCCGTGGCCAACAGCGAGACCAAGGACGGGCGGTCGGGGAGAGGTTGAATAGGGTGTGCACTCGTACCAAAGTGGGAACTGCCAAATTGGTGGTTGCCTTTGGTTTTGTTTTTGTAGCCACCAACATGGGGGTGCCCCTTTGTACCCCAAAAGAGACATGACGCTTGTGTTGAAAGAGCTAACAATGATCTATACCAATACGCGGGGTTTCGACAAGTTTGAATGGCTGGCTCGCATTGTTTGCTAGTTGAGAATCAAAGCTTGGCTGCGTGGACACATCTGCCGAAGAGCGCAGGTGCAGCAAGGCCAATAAACCTGGACTCAGACTCGAATGCGCAAAGGCAATCAACCTGAGGGATTTCAGCTTCGCTTTGGAACTCCCAAAAGGTCAAGGTAGACCCACGGCCACGAAGCCTTTCGAAGCCTGCGGGACTTGAAGTTGACACCGGCGGGTCGCGTTTTTTCGCGACCCGCAAAATGGGAGGGACTGCATGTCCAGCGATCCAGGGGCTTCATGGCTTCCCAGTGCCCCGCACCTTAAAAAGAAAGCAATGCTCATGCGGACAAAACACACAACATAGTACAAGGTCATGCTTACAATCTTCACCCAAATGAATGTGGCAGGGAAACTAGCGCCTTCAGCTCATGATTCGCTCTGGAGGTGATAATTCAAGCAGTGACACTCCTTGAGGGAAGGCTGTCCTTGCCCTTTTGTGTTGCTTGTTCCTTGGTCGCCTCCCCAGCGCCTTTGGCTGGTGAAACTCAGGGATCCAAAGATCTCCAAAGATCGGACGAGACGTTTCATGAGCTTTTGCGCCAGGCAGACGAGACGAAGCCGCCCAGGATCACCATCGACCAGATCAGGGGATACCTGCAGCGCAACGAGACCCAGGCGGAATGGCTCCACAATGGGGCAAAGGTGTAAACGGCACCCTGAACCAGTGGATTTTCGGACAACCTGTGTTGCTTTAAGGACCTCTCATGGGTCCAAAGCACAACATGTTTTTTTCCCTTTGAGTCGTCGGGTTTAGGGGGGGGGAATGGCGTAGTTGCAGATTGGCCGATGCCCGGCTGGGAGCTGCATTTTGCTGCACTTTCTGCTTCAGCTTGCGATTGAAGTTTAGCTGCGGGTTCTGCTTCAGCTTGCGATTGAAGTTTAGCTGCGCGGCACACACACACACATTATTTTGGTTTTGTATTTCCGCTTCCCTTGCACAGGAGTTTTTTTTCTTTTCCGGCAAGCCCTGGTAGAGGGACTCATGCGTGACTTCACAAACTTCTGGCAGCACTCTACATCCGGATGTGGTGTTTTCTGGAGTTCTGACTTGATAACCTAAGACCGACTGGCGCGCCGTGGACACGACACCAATTGCACTTCATTCCGGTGTGGCTTCCGCGTCAAATTGATGCATCCTTACGATTGAGCACCATGCTCGAATGGCCTTTGCGCAGTGTCTTTCCAATACATTTTCCGGGAACAAGCACATTTGACAGTGCTCGGCTGTTTTGGCGAAATCATGTGGTTCGGCATTGTGTGTGTGTGTGTGTTGACTGGCTGCAAATGTCATATCCAAGTTTAATGTTCAATAGTTATCTCATTAAGGAAACGACCCGGGAGCTAGCTTGTACGACAGGGGTACTGGACAGAATCCTTCTGCAGACATGGAAATCCTGATGGATAAGTGGGCGCTATCCCGAAAAGTGGAAGAAAAAAGGAACGCTCCTGCAGTGAACTGAGGCAGTTATTCATTATTAGTATTTGTGCATTATTAGTAGTTAATTCAGGGTTCCCATAACTACTATATCTAGTACTGCCGGAGCCTCCTGTTTTGCTCCTTGCAGCTCTGCGCTTTGCAGGGTGGAAAGTTGTGAGTCTTCAGCCAGCCACGCGCGACCTGAGCGCAAACGCGCAGGGAACGCGCGTCCCGCGCTGGTGGGACGGGACCCGACAGGGGCAGCCGGCAATGCGTTGTTTTAATTTCGTAATGTTTTAATTCTAATTAATTTAATCACACACTGGGATCAGAATGTTTTAATTCCAACTACTCGTTCTAACCACAAACTGGGATCAGACGACATGCCAATGGGATGCATCGACGCCCTGATATGTTGCCATACCCTTGCCCAAGCTGATAGATCTTTGTTCAACTCTTGCTTTTTTTTGGGAGAGGTCGGATTTTAGCCGCTAAAGGTGACAGTGGGCAGCGTAAGCCTCAGAGGAAAGAATGCGGTTTGCTGAATCTTAGCTGGCCCATATTTGATTGGAAAGGCCAGCTCCTAGGGAAATATGTTACACATGCTGCTGGACTTCTGGTGAGTCTAGGTTTAATATAGGCACATACATAATATACTATACATACATAAAATGCGAACACATTTGGAAACAGCAGGCATATCGACCACATATTAGATATGTACATGTGTACATTTATGTACGCATTTGCATATATATATATATATGCAAACTGCGCACTTGTGCCTGCACATGTTTGTGTGTGTGTGTTCGTGCATTGTGGTTGTAGTCCAAGTAGTACTTATATGAACGATTCAAAAAGGATTTCACACAGCCATTTAGCCCCTTTGGGAGAATCACAACCTACAAGAAGTTGGGACCTTGGCGCAAAAAGGCGCTTGTCTTTGCCTTGTTATTTTCAGTTGCTGGGAACGCGCCAATGGGCGTGCCGGTCTCGGAGGCCCCCGGAGGGTTTGTAGCCTGAAGGGATTCACCACCAACCACACAGATTCTTTGCACAAAGTTGAGAATAAGCAGAGATTTTCCAAGCGTCATGGCAATTTCCCCCTTTTGCCAAATTCGATGCGGTTTCACCCCCCGTGTGGAGAAACACGCCGCCGGGAAGGGACCAAGAGCTCCATCCGGAGAGGAGAGCCATCCGCGCCCCAATGCAACAGAGTGACAATGAGAGACTGTTGTGCTTTCTGTAAATCGGAGCGAGAAGCCCAGATGGCCATTCCGGACATGTTTCTTCTTTTTTCCTGCTTTGCAGGACCTCGCTTGTTTTAGAAAGGAAGGCGTTGCTCGGATTGTGGTTCCCTTAGATGCTGTTTCTTTGACCAGGATTGGGACGCGGAGCATTTTTTGGAGCCACCATAGCCACCTTGACGCGACATGACCGGTTGACAAACGCGAGAGTGGCGCGACTGGACATGTTTGTGCTGGCGAGCGTGGCACGCTCCCATGCATGCCATGCCCCTTAGAGCATTTTGATTGAGCGAGCTGAAACCATGGCTTCGCATCACCTTTAAGTGTCCGTGGCTCGCACCTATGGGTCACTTCACTTTTTGAGCATCCTTTTGCTTGCCAACAGTTTCCTGATTTGTGCGTGGCACAATTGAGGAAACCGGCCCAAAGCTATGAACCTGCACCCCAGCTCTGTTGGTTTGTTCACTGTACTAGAAACAACCAAAACAAGAATGTTGAGGGTCCCAAACAGAACTGACTCTCGAGTGACACCTTTTTATCTTGCAAACATTCTAGCTGCGTGCCGTAGTGTTAGATGTTCTTTACCCACATCATGTTCCGGGCACAACTGTCAATTGTAAGCTCCTCAGCCCATTGTGTTCACTTGCAAGCTATGAGGTGGACGAATAAAACGAGCTGCCTACAGTGTTTCCATGTGTATCCATGCCTGACGATTCTGTAGACTTTGTGCCCGACAATCTGCGGGAACACGATGCAGGATGTGACACGTGGTCACGAATGTCAGCTTGGCTCAGAGCCTTATTGCCGGCTAAACATGCATGGTGGGGCATGATACGGCGTTTTCTTTCAGTTTCTTTTGCACCGGTGACTGCCACCAAAACTCAGTTCAACGACATGGCGTGCCCTAAGCGCATCATCCAGATTGCCGACAGTCGCCCGACTGACATCTTTCATGGTTGGAGCCACACAGAAAGGGCCCCAGCAAGCAGTGGCAGCTTCAGAGGAGAACGACACTTGCCCATGGCGCCTATGCTAAAGGCCTAGGCAGGGCCTAAGGGCTTGATACTTTAATTGGGCTGAGAGGGGCTGCCAGAGAAAAGGCCCAGATGAAATGGATGAATGGATGACAATGGTCAGAGGTGGTTATGAGTTATGTCACCACGGACCAGAGTTATGCTTTGGAGCAAAAAACCTGTTTGCCACTATGCATGGCTTTCTTTCGGGCGTGGTGTCGACCCCTTCCCGTTGCTCAAATTGAGGCAGTCACGGCGAGTCGCGCGAGGACTGGGTCTTGTCGCCCCCTCCCAAACGCCACCGCCCGCTTCGCTTGCTGTTGCTTCCTGGTTTTGAGCATCATTTGTTTGATGCCAATTCGTAAGCTCCTGCGAGTTTCCTTGGTGATGTTTGCAGGTTGGAATGAAAGTTAGGATGGAGTCATGGAGCTCAGATACATTTCACGGTTTGACGCTGTAGTGGCGGCTAAGAGTGAAGCAAACATTTGATTACAAACTTCAATCATGTCGGAAAGCAGGGGTCATGTGCAGGTCTCCAAACTTAGGCGACTCCCCCAAAATGGAAAACCACGCTGTTTTTTTTTTTTTTTTAAAATATATATTTCCAGTCTGCCAAGCAGAGTCTTCCTCTCATTTTTCCTGGTGTTTCCACCTTGTTTCCTTATTTGTGGTTTTCCCCGAAACCGCAGGTGTCACAGGTGGCGCCAAGCCTAAGGCTGCCTTCGCGGCTCGCTGCTTTGCGCCAGGCGGCCATGGGTGGCGCGGTGGCCTCCCTGGCCTTCCCGGTGCCGCCCAAGGGCCGCTACGCCGAGGCGCGCGCGGGGGGCGGCGGGGGGCCGAGGCGCGGCGCGGTTTTGGGTGGTCTGAGTCTTGGGGTTTCAAAGGCCGGGGCAAAGGGAAGGCCACCCAAAGAAATGAAGCGTCCAAGTTCTGTTTTTTTGATGGAACCGACCTGTCTGTTTGGTTGGCTTATTGATTTTTTGAAACTATGCGGGGAAACCACCAAAAAGATGGGCGTGGAACCAAGTGTTCCAAAGGTGTCCTGGGAGATTCCATGTTAGTCTGGGGGGTGTACTTGGATTGGGCAGCCTAGACGGACGGCCGTGAAGAAGCTCTTTTGAATTGGAGCGCCTGATTTACTGCAGACAGCTCTGCGGAGGAGCACGCCTGAGCGTGTTCGTGCTGTTCACAGGTTCGTGGTTTAGCGGGTGGTTGCATCAGCTGCTTGCATTTGCCATCTTTTTTGGCTGGATTTTGCGCCATTGCTGAGGTTTTGATGCGGTGGGTAGGGTTCCGATGTGGTACAGTTTCATTATTTGGTGCGGATGTATCATGTTGATGCTGTCTTTGTTGCTCTCGATGTTGGCGGTTCGCCATGCAGTTCCAGGGTGTTTGGGCGCTGCTTTTGGGCCCTGTTTTCCTAAATGGGGCTGGGGCCCGGATTAGGGATTCAGAGGCAGGCAGGCTGGGCCACACTCGGGGGCCAGCCGGATGACTGATTCTTTTCTTTTGTTTTTTGGTGGGAGGACCCCCACTGAATGGTGGTTTTCCTTTTTGTTTCCCTCTACAATCACAACAAAGGATACCCTGACAAAAAGACGAGCCACCCCTCTGCACACATCTCGCAGGCACTGCAGAAGCGGCCTGATCTTCTGTACCTCGAGACGGAGGATGAGGCGGGCGGATGTAGCCACCCCGCCAGTTGCGGCAGAGAGGCTGTAAGAAAGACTTGGGGGAGTTGGTTACTTAATTTCACTGCTGCTGGCATGTTTTTTGGTTTTGTTTTTCTTTGGTTCTGTCCATTTTTAGGAAGGGGCTGCAGAAAGCAACGTTTTTGCCGCCACACCAAAGGTTGGAAAGTTGAAATGCATTCATCGGATTCCCAGGCGAGTGGAGTGTCCATGTGCCAAAGCCATTGTGATCTGCTCGTGTTGTGTCTAAAGCAAAAGGAAGCCAACCATTTGAGGTTCCTTGATTTTGACACAAGCAAGCAAGCTGTTGGCAGAGAGGGCACTTTTAAGCACGTGCAAGATCGCATACCACTCCCTGGATGTTCATTCACTTTGATTTGTCACAATGTATCGTTTCAAAGTTTGTGACACACCATTTGCACTTTTGGCCCTGAGCAGGGGCAGCTTCTTAGCGCTTATTAGTGGGTGTTTACAGAAAGCGGTGCGTACTCTTGCAGTGCTTCGTGTAGTAGTCTTATGAGGACTGTACCGTTCTTTCAGCCAACCAATGGTGCTTACTTATGGCAATCCGCCCGTGTGTAATCGCTCAACTGGGGAATGGTCACAGGTGGGGCTGGAATCGCGCTCGAAACCCCGTGGATTAACCCTTGGCCCTTCACGGCCAAGTGCCTTTCAAACACATGCCATATGAGCCTACCAACAAGTTTGATTGATTCATTGATTGCTGGTACTCTTTAAGCCGGTGTTGCCCGTTGGCAATGTTCAGGGCATTGGGAGCCACACTTGTCTGCTCCTGAAATTTTGGTGGATTTCGATTCGTTTGCCATAGAGCCATTCCCTGTCAACATGACTTGTCAGTAGCCTTTCAACCCTTTCCCAAACTCTGAGGGTGGCCCATTTTCGGCATGACATGGTTCAGAGCAGAAAGATTGGCTCCGGACTCCAGAGCCGAGGGTTATGAACCTCCTCATGAGCCGCAACAGAGACTTAAGCCACGCAAGTCCAAGTGTCAGGATCAAATCGCCGCTTTGCACATTCGCCGGGGCATCCGCGGCACTGACCGGGTGATCCTGCAACTTGGAAAACAGTTTTCAAGCTCACCGGAGGGCTTGGAATTTCGCAGGCTATTGACTCGGAGTAGGCCCTCAGCCTTGACAACGATCCAGCTTTGGCTATCCGTGCTTAATATTAGAACCTGATTAGTACCCCCTGCTCAAGGTCAACAAGGTTTGGGAAAACCGGATTTTGGAGGGTCTTCGGGGCTCTATCGGATCAGTCCGAACCTGGGCAGTGCACTCCGTCCTTTCCTGTGCCGGTCTTGCCAATAGGACTGCAATAGGAAAGTAGCCTACGGGAGTACCCTTTGTGAGCTTGTCAAACCACCTTGAATCTTTAAACTCTCTGGACTGGCAGTCCTTGAGACTATGAAAGGAGTTGGTATTGGTAAAAGTATTGGCAAAAGTATTGGCAATAGCTGTGGTACTTTTTTGATAAATGCGTTTAGTACTTGTTCTGAATTTCGGGCTGGAAAGGGGCGTCTCTAGCACAAATTTGCCACCGTCGGTCGTACTGCCAGTGACATTGGCACTGAGGTATTCACACGGCAACGCAGAGGACATTTCTGGCTGCCTGTGTTTCTGACCCCGGACCCAACGGTTTCCACCGGAGGCACTGGCCTGTGGATATGATTCTTCATCCAAGGGTGGTCCTATTTCTGGATACTTAAAAGTGGCACAAACATGAAGCCATGATTCAATACTTCCGTTTTTGTCCGCACACATAGATGACCTGAGATAAATGGCGGGCATGCAAGCCCTGCAGCTGGAGCCGTCTCGGCTGGCGACTTGTCTTCCGCGGGTTTGGGATCCTATGGTTCCGATTGAATCATTGCTTTATGTTGATAAGTTATTGTCCACATGTCCGAATTCTTTACACGATGCTCAACACACTAGCACTGGAATGTTCCCCGCTTAGGGATGTGCCTTGTTCAACCTCCAAGCCTTTAAGCGGCCTTCGGGTTCGTGGCTGCAACTTAGCACCAATTCGTAGCTTGTGAAGGCCAATTATTCCCGACCAACACCTGTGACTGTTTTACTGGACCCCGAAACGAAGTGTTTTTTTTTCCCCTGGTGGTTTTCCTTGTATTCCTCTTAGCAACCAAACTAGGTGTCCCTAAGCGCTGTCCTTGGTCGGTCCCAAGTCGGTGGTCGTTTTCTCAGGACCTGGGCCAGCGGCTGCACTACTTGGACCTCATGTCTCAGTTGTGCCGCTCGCCCAGCGCCGGATGTGGGCGGAACCGGACATCGATCCGGGTTTTCGCCTGGTGCGAGAGGGTTTTTGGGAATGACCTTCTGGGTTTTGGGAATGAACCCAGGGATTTTTTGGGATCATTCCCTCATTCCCTGAGAACCAGCAAGTGAGCAGGTCACCAGGCCCGTTGATCCATGTCGCCAGTGAGTGGAAGGGTGGAAATCACAGAATCCCGAGCCACAAAATGGCGGGCACAGGCAAGTAAAATACACACTGGAGGTGCTGGCTAACAGACACGGCGTGGCGGTTGGTTTCAAGGTACATATATGGACAAAGTAATCGACATCTTGTCCTTTCGAACAGCCTTTTGGTTGCAGGACGAGAACAGACAACAATGAAGGAAAACCAGCCAGTCAGTCTTTCTGAACTCTTCTGAGGGCGCACTCTCCAATCGATGGGGTAAAACGACACCGTGCCTGCTGGTCTTCTGAGGACCAACAGTTTCACAACCTAGAAGAGCCTGTCCCGAGATGATATGAACCACTACATATTGATGGAGGGCAACATCGTTCATGGACTTTAAACTTTTTGGGAAGACCATCTTAGTGGCAAGCAACCAGTTTAGACTTACTAAGGAAGTGCAACATCGAAAGCAATCCGTTGTCCGTATTCACCATAACATGTTTGACCCACACGCTCTTGCACAGCTGGTGCAGGGCCCTCAGAGTTTGTAGAATTTCAAGCATCCCATCAACCAGCATCCACCTCAAAGTGTTTGGTGGACTTAAATCCCCACCTACTCTCCTGCCGCCTTCAGATATATAGATCCCCGCCAAAATTCCCCCATGTGTAGAGGAATCTCCTTCTGAAGGACCACCAAAAACGGGGTTCCTTGCGTTGATTTAGAGGGGAAGTAATGAATGTCCACCAAAGGGTTATGAAAATTCACACTCTGAAGCGCCTGAATCTCTCACAAGTGGGGAAATCCGAGCCTCGAGCCTCAGGTGCCTCTGACGTGCTGGCCTACGACTACAGCGGCTATGGCTTCAGTGAGGGCACCCCATCCGAGGATACCAACTTGAACCGACTATTGCTTTTGTTTCTTCCTAAGAAGTTAAGGGTTGGTCTACGCTGTACACTTTCTAGCAGAATCATGGAACCTGTGCAAAAAGTGGCTATCACTCACTAACATTTTAGCTCTTGCTGCTTTCGCAATGCTTCACATGGTGTTTGAGGGTGTTTGGTGTCTGAAGAGATTGCTCCGTGCATGCGGGCCACTTGGCATTGTCAACGGCAGGAGAATTGTATCCAGTCGATTGATGCTGCGTATGTCAGCGCCTCAGACCTGATGAAGCATTGGCCGTTTCTGGCTGCCCCCCCCCCCACCAAACACTGGATTCGGTTGTCTACACAGGGCTCTTTGCAACAGCCACCTTGAAGTCAGTGCAGTTTTCTTAGAATGCTTCTCCTCCGCGAATGATCGGATCCACAATCGAGTCTTGCCAGCTTCAATCCTTGAGCACTTTGGGGGGATGATGGAGACCGAGCAATCTTTTCCACTTGGAGAATCTGAGGGCGTAATTGCCCTGATTTCTTTTCATCATGACCGCATGATGTAGGCTTGATGTGTGAGTGAACAGGGTTGCACGATCATATCATCTCTGTGAGGGAGCTGTTGTTGTTTGACCTAAAGGATTACTTTTGGAATGTGGAAACAGCACGCAAGCAGGCGAGCCGACATCAACAGTTCGCAGACATGATCAAAAGAGAAGATGCCACAACAGTTGTGAGCTATCACTGTGTGCCGGAGTAAGTTGAGTCGTTCTCGCCCTTCCTTGTCATCAACCAAACTGGCGGTGCTGTGTTGCTGACAAGTTTGGTCCAGCATGGCGCTCTGCGGATTTCCGACTGCAACTGCCCATGCTCAGGAGTACCTTTGCAAAGAGTATGCACCCAACCGGATCATCCTCTTTGGGCGATCTATCGGCACAGGCCGTGACTTTGCTGTCCAGCGCATGGCGTCTAGGGTCCGGCTTGCTGCTTGCTGGACTGTTGCACACGCCATGTTTCTGCTGAAGCAGACTTCCGGTCGGGTAAGCCATGACATTGCGCAACTAAAGGATTTGTTGTCAGACGACGCTTGCTGCTAGTGCAGTTTGATTGGCTATCAAGGACCCTTCAAATGCTTGGTGTCCAGCCGCGATCGATTGGTTGCTCTTCCGAGTCAAATGGACGTTTCATTCGGGGCTGTTAATTTGACATGCGGTGCATGTCATGTGTTTTTGCTTCCGTGCTGTTTGGCCTCAGCCTGACACTGGATTCTTGCATGATTAGTAAGGTTGAGTCAATATTTGTCGGCTAAGGTCGGGTTGGATTGAGCAAGGCTAGGTTGGGTTCAACCAGTTTGGGGTTGACTTGAACTAGCTTTGGAGTTGTTTCAGATCAGGTGATGTGTTGTGTGTGTGTGTGTTTGTTGGAGGTACCCTTTTCGCGGTTGGTTTAGAGGGACACCAAAGCAAAACATCACCCATTTTGGGGCGCAAGCTCCTTGGGACCAGCTCCCCAAGCCACCCTAGGATGCGGGTCCCCGATTTGTTCGCCGCCCAAAGGCTCGGATGCGTTGCTCGACAGGCCCGACCGTGGACCTGGCGCTTCGGCATCCCGAGATCCGGGGCGCGGAGCTCGCGTAGCGATCCAGCCGTTGGTTTGTGTAAGTTCCCCCCTCACGGCAAAGAAGTGGCAGATCTCAGCGTCCCACTAGTTTTGGTGGTTTGGTGGTAAGGTGTCACCAATCCAAGCCAACAAATAAGAGGCAGCTGAATATTGCACCCTTGGTTCTATTGTGCTACCTGTGTAAGTAGGGTCCCCAACTCTAGTCAAAACGGCCGGTATCCTTCCGGCGTGCATGGGCGTGTGGGAAGGCAGTCAAAAGGCATACAGTTTCAAGCCAACCAGTAACCGCGTGGCGAATGACCTGATTTGAACAAACATGTTTGAAACAAAGCAATGTTGAGCTGCTTGTAAGACGCGCAGTCGTTTGACACAGGGAGGTCGTTATTGAGGAGCAGCAATACCGAGAGGTGAAGCAAGCCAGGTGTTTGTTGTCTTCATAGGAAGCTGTGCTCATGATTCAGGGTGCATTGCATGGACACCAAGTCCTGCCAAACTTGGGTTCTGCCGTTTCTGGCATGGAATATATGGATCACCAGCACAGTTCAACTAACACTAGTTTATCGTCTTTGCTCTCTTCTGTCAGAAGTGTATAGTATCTATTGTTGGTTGTCTGGCAGGCCAAAATTGAGCTTGCTGTTCAGCGATTGTGTTCTTCGAGTCCTTGTTCCCGTCATATCAATCTCCACCACGTGATGTGTACAGTCGCCTGTGTCCCCCATCAAGCGCCAGCTGCAGCTCCTACAAGAGTTGGGCTTGCTTCGAGTTCGCGTATGAAACAGTTCCTTGCTTCCCTAGCTAGCCTTGCAGACGTTTGCAACAACTACACGGATCTTTCATGACCCTACTACGGGGGGAAATACAGTCTTAACTTACCCATGATGCTGCTTCTTCTTCGGAGATCATTAGTTTGGGGCTGGTGACATCTTAATTCTAGTCTGGAATGGCAGTTGATGGCAACATGGGACAGCGCTGACATATGATTGCGAACGTCACACACTTATTGTTTCTTGATCTATATAGTGGATCAATTCCTGGCCGGTTGGTTCAGATCAGCCATACCCCAAACTTTGGGAAACGAGTCGTGTGACAAGGCTAGGGACCATTGGAGGGCTTGGAGAGGTTTGGTGTTGGTTTCCCCTTCAGACGGTTTGTTTGTTGCTTCATAGCCGTCCCCGAACGCCAAACGGGAAGACTCTCTTTTAGGCATGGATTGCGCGGCGGTGCGCCACGTGAACTCGAAAAACGGTTCTCGGGAGGTCCTCCAAAAAAGGGATGCCCCCCCGCCCTTTTAGAGGGACACCCACCTATGAATCCCGGGTTCCCAGTATCCTTGCCGTGGCTATGTTGAAGCACCAGGGTTGCTGGACCAAGCCCTGTGAGATGATTCGCAGATCACGTCGTCCGACTTTTCTTTGGGGGGTGGTGTCAAATGGGAGAGCTGGGGCTGTCCGTTTTTTGTGGGTACCCTGGTTGAGTTTGGCTTTAAAGAGACACAACAAGAAAGGAAACCAGAGGGAACCCCACCCGCGCCATGTTGGGGGTCCGAAGAGTGACCAAAAAACGTGCGAGCCACGCTGGGCTTCGAGAGAGGTGTGGTGCTCCAGAGCCCCATTGAAAGTTGCGGCCGGGGCCTTTGAAGAGCGGCCGTGGGTTCGGCACCGCATGCCATAAATCGCCTTGGGTGTCTGTTTTGGGTTTATACAACTCGTTACTTTTTGTCAACTGCATGGAGCTTTGATTTGGGTCATGCTCGACTGAAAGAGAAACAAAAACGCATTCCTCATTCTTTGAAGCATATGTGCTGAGAGGGACAGGCTGTGGGTCCGGGTAACGCTGGGAGTGGCTGAATACCAGCAGAGGCCAACCGCCAGAATAGTAGCAGCAGAGGTTTGAGCAGCTGAGTTCATGAAAATGATCTGGCATTGTTCCCTCTTGAAGAGGAATTTTGAACTGCAGTGGCGCGCACGCCACAGACCACTGTAGCAGTGGTCCCACAACAGAGTCGCAATGGGCGCTTGTGACCAAACTCAAGCGTTGTTCTTGTGCTTCGGCAATGGGTTGTGACTTGAAGAGGGGCAGTGGCGGGGGAGAGGGGAGATCGGCAGGGGTGATGAGTGCATGGCAGGATGATGATCTGAAATGCTACCCCTGCCCCGCCAAAAGACGGGAATGTTGCATTTGTCTTGCATTTGTCGACGGGAGAAACTTGTTCATTGGACATCATAAGATACAGAAAAGGGTTTTCACGCTTGCTACGGGCTCCGGAGAGGTCAATTCTGCACAGTCTGCCAGCCTAGGCCGCGCCGTCTTTGGGAACCTAGCGTCCTGGGTTGGCTACAGGCCGGAGCAATGCCGCCTTCTTGACCCGGGATGTAGCTATGGCTTCCAGTATTCCACGCCGAAACAGGTAAGCAATCAGCCTCCAGCTTACCAATGCTATGTGCCAAGCTGTTGCTTCGGCGCAGCAGGACTCTAGGACTTTTTTCTGGTAAGATTCGTACTAGCAAATTCTTGGACTCCACTCAGACAACAAACCTGCGGAGAACACTCGCAGTTGAGTTGCTCCAGTGAGCACAAGGTCCAAGAGGGCGAAGCATGATCGTGACTCTCCCAGGTGCTTCCTACGCTACAAGCACCCATGTTGGATCTTCGGGCTCCGATTTGGTCAGCTGATTTGCATAGGTCTGGTAGCCCTTGCGAATCCAGGCTCCAGGTCTAGCTGCACACGAGAAAGTGTTTGGTCGTTCCTTGTCCAAACTCGGAAACTCCCACTGCAGGACATGACTCCGGGTTTGCGTTGCTCATGTCCAACCATCTTTGGCGTGTCCAGCTACCATTTGCAGAGTGGGGGTTGCCCCCCTCAGGACTTCGGGAGCAAAAGACCAACGGGCCAATGGTACGTCTGGTTCGATGGATTGGCGTTTCTGGTCCAACGGGCTGGGAACACGAAGGCATTTCGATTGATGGCTTGGATTCGGAGGCCTGCGGCTATCCTGGCGACAAGTGTTTGTGCTAGAGCCATGGGACACAAAACAGCCAAATTGGGAGCGGATTTTGGATTGGCACAGCCAGATGGAGGAACTCCTCAACGTTTGGGAATCCGGAATCGATGTGGGAGTTCTGCAGGCAGTGAAAGGCTTTCATCCCTGTGAGCAACGATAGTGGCCCCACCGAATCGCCAGTACAAATCCTGGCTAAATGGGGCAAAACCTTGGGCAGTGGTGACCGAACCTGATGATTCGGTCAGCCGGGCACAGGCCCAAGGCAGTTTCCACCAGGTGTTGGGAACACGGGAGACTTGTATTCGATCCACGGCCCATGCACGTCAAGCGGCCAGGATGGATCTGTTCCGGAATTACGAGAAGATTGACAAGGCCTGAGCTTGGTTCCACTGCATGATTACCTATTTCCCCAGATGCTCTCAGGGACACAGGTTGTGTTGACCTGAGAATGCCTGGCATTGTGTGGAGGTTTAGCGATTCTTCCACATAGGCCTTCAGCAACACGGTCAAAGCATGTTTGGTACGTTGGCTGGCCTTTTGCTCAAGAGCCTTGCCCGTTTATAGTTTTTGTCGCGGGCCTAAGGCTTTGCTACATGTTCTATTTGTGCAATAGCTTTTGCGCTCCCTTGCGGAACCCACCTAAAAGGCCTCCTGGTTCAAACACAAAGCGCAGCCTCATCGCATTCGTTTCAAGCCATTGTGACACTAGCACGCAGGGCGTGATTTGAAGTCCGCGTGCTTCGGATACACCACCAGGATAAAAGTTTGCCCTCCTGCATCCCAACACGTGTTCACACCCTTTCACTGTAGAATCTTGCAAGTGAAAGAGCACGTCCAAGGCGGCACACTTGCAAGCCTTCATCTTAAAACAGGGTGAATGCCGCACAAAACGCGACCTCAAATTTGACCAACGTGACCCACTCGTATGCTACAGTTCTAAGAGGGCAAAACCTTTGTCCGCCCGAAGTATTGGCCGGGCGGTGGGCGTAGTACGACGCAGCAGCTTTGAACTCGGACAGTGAATTCCAGCAAGCATCATTCACTTTGTGAAGTGAGTCTACTTCTTGAGCCTGAATGTGATGAAGGGGCTAAACTTCATGGTTTTCACAACTATGCCCTGATGCTCATGAAACCAGGCAAGTCCATAATGTGTTCTTTCAAGTTTTACATGCCACCAGTGTGACAAAGCGACTCTACTTCCAGATAAACACTTATTGTAAGCATAATATCCCGGCTTGATGGGGCATGTTCCGAACAAAGACACGATTGAACATGTTTGCTAGAAAGCACAGTAGACCATGTATTCATGCATCAATAAACAACATACATGTTTACATTGGCTATCACGCAGTAACATGCACATCATAAATAAACGCGAATAAACAGTTTCTACATTGCACTTTCCTGCAACACATGTGGCTGAATTGCACCAAGCCCCAAGATACATGCACGCACTTGCTGGCCTGAAATCAAAGCATGCATTTCAGATCAAAAGAAGGTATGCACCAGGCCAATGGGCCAGAGGTCCTCCCAATGTACCGCAACTGCACTTTCTGCGAGCCTGCACCAACCTCTCGCACGTGATCAAAACCAAAGCAAACACCACCTCTTTTTCGTAAAGGGCTTTCGATTCGGATTCGGTGTGGTCATCATTTGAGGTAGCATTGTAAGGCTTCGGGGATCCATGATTATGACCCACACAAGGCTTGGCAACCCTAGGCCAGGCAAGGTATTGTTGAGGGAGGCGTAGTCAGGACCACGTACTTGGGGATGTGTGATCAAGGACTGTCGTTTAGTGCACAGCAAAAGGCAAAGTTTCTGATTAAAGTGGGGGTTCCATCCTCAGAAATACACCATTCGCTCGTTCGCGTTTAGTTTCGCTCGGGGATATTCAGTGGAGACAGGTGCAGTGCCCGGTGCTGATCATGCACGGAACGGAAGATGACATCGTCCCCATCGAGCATGGCTTCGCCTTGCACGAGGCGTGGAGGACGTGCAGTGGCGCATGATGCTGCTTGCTTTGCTCGCAGCTTGCGGCAAAGTCTATCATATGTATATGGGCAAGAACAAGGTACGTCTACAGATATGTGCGCACGTGCGTGCATCATACATACATACATACATACATACATACATGCATGCATGCATGCATGCATACATACATACATGCATAATATATATATATATGTATATATGTATACACACATGTACATACAGACATACGGACATGCAGACCTACGTACGTATGTACGTATGCAAAGATGGACAAGCGTTCATATGTACATACGTACGTATATTGTACGTACGCACCTGCCTACCTGTATACATATAAATATATATATATATATACATAACACCTACAAACCTACATGCCTACATACATACTCACATACCTACATGCCTACATACCTAGCTACCTACATACATACACGTAGATAGTACGTATGTGTACACATGAACATTGACTATGTATGAATACATACATATGTATATATATATTTATACGAATGCGCTTGTGTTCCAGCATGCTGTATCCATTATGCAGAGACGTCAGGTGCTTGGAACAAACAAAGTAAGGCTGTTTGGTAGTGAAGTGCGGTGCACGCATCGCTCGGTCAATTCGGAGTGCGCCCGCGCTTGAAGACTTCGAGCAGCAGACCACGGTGTCTTTAGGTCCCACACCCAGGCGGTGATTGGACGCCGCCTCAATGTATTGAGTGGATAAATCCTATTGAGCGCCTTTCTGGAACCAGCTTGTGAGTCCATTTTCAACACCTTAAGAGAGCTGTCGTTGAGGCTCGAGGACCTTGTGAAAATAGAAGTACAGAAACGGAAGACCATTGCGGTTTTCTCAGGGAAGTTAAAGAAAGTCCATGGACAATCTGAACATCTACAAGAGAATACGCTCTTTCCAACCATCATGGAAGTGCGTTCTGAGGGGTTCTGAGGGCGTCCCCAAAAAGGGAGGCAATTAGTCTTAACCCCTGACAGCTTCCATGAGTGGGAGGGTAAATCACCTCATCTTTCGCCAAACAAAAACGGCACGGCTGGGGTGGGGTTGCAAGGCCTGTCAGAAGCCGGCGGAGCCCTTGTGGTTGGAGGGATGCGGCGGGGAAGCTGAGCGAAGGAGCAGGGCCAAGAAAGCCTGGTGTCCACTTCCATGGGCTTGAGGGCCGAGAAAAGCAGTTTCTGTTGGTGTCCACTTCAATGGGCTCTGCTTTGATCGCAAGATCCATTGCCCATTAAATTGGGGAAAGATGCTTAGGTGACGGCTGTTTGTTTGAACCGGAACCATCAGCATGTGTCGATTTGTAGCTACTCCGCAGTTGCCTTAGTTTTCGTGGCTGTGTGTGTATGTGTGAGCGAATTGAGAGGTTTGCGTGCTCTTGACTTGTACCGCCAGCATCGCTGACCGGAGGTGCCTACATCTCGAGCACGCAACAACTGACAGGGAGCCTGCCCTTGAGCAAGCAAGCATAAAATACAGCAATCAAACACTTGGGGTCCTCTGGAAAGCGTTGGCTGCAGGGCTTCAAGTCTGGTTGCTCAACATTGGTGGCTGCTTTTTCAATCGGATTGCTCACGATTCAGCTGAATGCGCCAGAAACTCATGGCGCAGGCAGCTCCCTGCGTTATAAATGCAGAGATGGTCGCGGGAGGAAACTGTCTCAGCTTTGGGATCCATTTTAGTTGGGTGCCACGCTTCTACTTGGCGGGAACTTAAACAACCAGATAGCCCCCTAGCATCATTCATCAACATGAGGCGTGTCAGACAGTGAGGAAATTTCCCCCTTGTTTTTGGAGGCCTTGGAATCAACGAGGTGCGCGTTTTTCTGCCCATGGCTGCTCAGGGTCCAGCGATGGTTTTGAATGCGGTGGGCCCGGGTTTCGCCCCAAGCGTTGATCAGTGGGAACGGACATCTTGGAGTGGATGTCAAGCCGGGTGAGCCGCTGAGGTCACAACGATCTTCCCAACGAGATTTGCCTCAGGCATGGCCGATGGACAAACCCACACCCTCATAGGGGTACAAAGTTTGGCCGGGCTGACCCCACTCACTTGCGAGGTTTCCGGCATTTCAACGGTTTGGCTGTGTGCATAGGCAGACACTTGACAGTGCCCCGTTCACGAGCCATGCCAACTTGGCGGATAAAGTAGGTGGCGGCCGCAAATAAAGATCAAGCTACAAATTCGGCGATGATCATGATGACCTCATATGTGAGTGGAAGCGCACTTTGCTTCAGAAACACTTGGGAAGGGCCACGTCATGTACATTTACTTCGGCAGTGTGCACCAAGCCTCTTTCTCTCGGGCGTTTGGATCATTGAGGCAGTCCGATCGCCACTGCTCAGAATGTGTACCTCAATGTCACTGTCTAGACATGCAGACATATTAATGCAACTTAAACATGCTCCAGGTTGAGCGGTGGATCATTTTTGGTCTCCATTAGTTGATCGCTTTGCCGAATTGCGTCACTGATTTGCTGGCAAATATGTTGGCATATCAGTAATTGTCAGTGTGATGTATTGGTGAGGCACTGTGAGATTCTTAGCAGCGGTTGATCCTACTACACCAAGAGGCTATTCAGGATGTGTGTGCTTTCATTGACCATATTTCGTGTTGCTCAGCACTTTGCATGGGCACCGCGCATTGCTTCGCGTGAGCTCTAAGCGCTCGAAGGCGCGTTCGGGAGTTCATGGACGAGATGGATGGCCTGTCATGGGGCCAGTTGGCTGCAGTCATTCGATGGCTGTCAGCCAGTTGCCCAAGATGCTTCGACATAGGCCGAAAAAGGCTACTGTTCTTCACGGTTCGGCATGGAGATGTATAATTAACCGTTTCAAGTGCATATTTCAGGTAAGTTCTGTGAGTATCAGCAGGCACAATAGTGCCATCAGCGATATGTCTGTGCGATATGTCTGTGCCAGTACAAGTGTAACGTTTAGACCATAATTGCTGCAGTAGTTGTGTACATCCAATATAGTTAGTCAAAAGGGGATCTAGTCGAGCAGGCTTTCAGAGCAACGCAGTGCTTGGATCAGCGGCTGTAACATTTGTGACCGTTGACAGCCAGTTTTTTCATACGAGCAGGTGCTTGGAGCATCAACTGAAGGCCGGTGACGGCCTGGACCAAGGATCCCCCGAATTTTCAAATTGTGGCGTGGGGGGGGGTGGATTTGGGGCCCACAGATCCTAGCCAGGAGCTACAGGATTTGATGAATTGAGAAAGTGGAATGAGTTTGACACACGGTTGAATCGAGCAGATGTCTGCAAACTACTCTGTAGTGCGACATATGTTCAGTGGAATGAGGGCGGCGGACGGCGAGGTACTATATGTTTATACCTTTTGTATCTTAAACAGTGGTGGGAGCAGACTAAGGCAAACAGCCTTGTACACTTTGGAGAAGTGCTCCAGACCATTGGAGGGTCGACCGATAGCATTTTGCGGAATCTTGTGCAATGAGCCTTGGGTTGAATTTGTGCGGCTTTGTGCTTGCCCCCTTTCATTTCTCATGTAAAGATAAGAGGCACCTGCAGCCAGCCAATTGGCAGTGGTTGCCCATGTCCAGCCTTTGCAACACCTTCTGTTTGTTAGATGGTTGCTGTTCAAGACAACGATGATTGGTACATGACACCTCTCAACAGGCTCCCGGCCTTTCAAGCGGGATTCAAGCCTTTCAATCGCCTTCGGAAAGTGCCAAGGCTGGAACATCTTTGTCACGAACCTCGCGACGCACATCTCTGTGAACCTTTGACACGGGTTCTACAAGCATGAGGGACCCATGAAGCACAGATTTGCTGTGCTGTGGGCGCAAGCAGTGCACTGTCCAAGTGCCATTTGCCAAAGCTGTTGCTATTTAAGTTTGCAAATGAAATGCAAGTGCAACCCAGCAGCGTGAATTCAAAAATCCGTCCAAGCGAGCGTGTCAGGTCAGGGATTAGAGTCGTCAGCCACTCAGACAATGTTTCCCCGGCCATCCATGCCTTTTGAATCGGAGGCATGTCAGGATGCATGGCAATTGATTGATGTTAGCTGTCTGAAAGTTCGAGACCTCATGGGTCAATTTTGGTAGATCCCCTGGGGAACCAGATGTTACCTGGCTGCAACTCTGCCCTGCTATTTGTATGTTTGTCCCCGGAATGATCTGAATCGGCATTTTGTTTTTGCTGTATCCATGGAGGCGTGACGCGTGGACACAACTTTCTCGACCTTGCAATTGTTTGGCAGGGATTATGGAGCGCCCTGCTTCTTGTTGTTTTACAACTGAGTGTCCAGCCAAAGTGGAAGCTGGGTGTACGCATGACATTGGATCCTTTCATTTGTTGCTCGGTTATGTTTGGATACAGGTAGACAGCTGCACATTGCGGGAAAAACAAACAAACAAAAACATCAATGATGTATATATATATATATGTGTTAGTTATTCAGCAAAAACACTACTCAAATCATGTTTTATTTTCGGCTGTGAGGATTTATGAATCGGCCCAAACACTGTCCTGCCAATCAGGCTTTTCTGAGTCTGAGTGCTGTTGGGATTCGGAATAAAGGAAGGTAAATCAGCAGGAAAGCCAGAGCGAAAGAAGCAAGAGATAATATGGACAGGAAAGAGAAACACACGTTTGAGATGAGCATGAAATGGAAAGGAGAAGGCAACATCAAGCTGACGAAGACAATGAATGTAGAAGGATATCAGCAGGACAGAAACGACTTAGCTGGTCTCAAAGAAGGGGGTGCTTGTGCTGCTCGACTCCTTTGGATGTGCGTGTGTGGTTTTGAGGGTACCCTTTTAAGGTTGGTTGAAAGGGACACCAAAAGGACAACCACCATATTTTGACATACTCCTTTCTTGGCCGATTCTCAGTGGCCCTTGTAAAAACAAAGAAAGCACAGCTGTGACGAATGGCTCTCACCGACTAGCTCACTGAAATAGCCCACCGACCTTTGGTCCATGGGTAGGTAGGTAGGCAGGCAGGTAGGTGGGCTGGTAGGTAGGTGGGTAGGTACGCAGGTGGGTGGGTGGGTGGGTACGTAGGTAGGTGGGTAGGGGCCAAGCGCCACAAAGATTCGGAGATAGCTTTCATTGTGGCCCGTGGTCCGTCACAATTTGTGACGGCCAACAAGCTCTCATTGTGGCCCGTCGCAATTTTGGCCCACAGCCGTTTGCTGAAATTTGAGTACGGAAAACCTGCGCCTGGGCAGCACTTCAGACGAGACGTAGGCGGTCTGGAGAACTGGGTGTGCCCATGAGCCTCCAAATTATTCACTGCTTCAGTATGCCGTCTTTGCAGCTTGAGAGTGGCCTTTTCGGATGGGTGATATCTTGCTTTCTGCCAAGACATTCAAATTGTTCCTTAAAATCATTCTAAGAAGGAACCTGTTGGTTGCAAAGAATCAAGCGCATGAGATTAGAAGCCGTATTTGACGTGCTTCCTGGTCAACCAGTTGTTCCATGGAGAAAGTGTAGGCACGTCTTTGCATGCGGTTGTGTTCAATGTGTGCGAAGCTTATGAGCGCCGCTTCAGAACAGAATGACAGTCTGGTCCTGCCAACATAGCGCATCTAAGGATCCAGCTCTCCTAGCTCCCTCAACACATAAACCTCCTGGTTGGCACTCAGGTTTCCATTGGACTATGAGCATCTACTGGGTGCAGGGAAAGAGTCCAACTGAAATCGACTGGCCATCTCGCATCCCTTTACAAGGCGTAAGGCAGGTGCCCTTTACAGAGTGGATCTCAACCTGTTCGGCGCGACGAAAGAACTAGGGTCGCCCTTCACGTCTCCGCGCCCAGGTGTGCTTAAAAGCTTTGATGGTACAAAAGTACGCCCGCGAGCCCAGACTCGCTTCGGGCCTTTCCCCGGCCACACGGCTTGTCGTATTGGAGCCTGGGGATCAAAGTCCAAACGCCGAGATGAGCCGACAACTTGCGAAGGAGAGACAATTCCTGGGTCGGATTTTGTGTAGCAACGCTTTGGGACTCTTAGCGCATGGATGATATATAATAACTTTTGTTGGCAGAACTCAAGGAATTGAGCAGACACAAAGGTCACGCAAGGAATTGAGCAGACACACAGGTCACAGGGCAATGCTTGACGTAGTATTCATTGATGATAAAGTGTTTCAATTGCCCTTATTGACATAGACAACAGTATGATATCAAAAAGCAACTGAATCTCAGTAGCTGACACACTGCCAGATCATCTTTCCAGCACGCCCGGGCTAAGAAAGCACAACAGGATATAGCGGAGTCTTGCCTAGCAATATTTTATCGACATAGACTACGTGAAACTGTTGTGTATTCAGTGCTTAAGAGTTGGTTTCATGTATGAAAGCACAATCAACTTGTCAAGAGGAAGGGTATCAGCGCTCAGTGTTCTTTGTTAGCTTCAGAACACACCTTTGATGACTTCAAGCAGTGGCATTGGTTGTATGCCAGCATAGTCACGCAATTCATGTTTTGCAGTAGGATGCCAGTGTTTGAGTGCAGGCACGACTGCGTGTTTCCAGTCACCCAACATCAGATGTCGGCCGACTGTGTGAGAGCGCATCCGTTGCATCGTCGTGACTCATACTCAGCCGGGAGTTTTGCCAGCTCACCTTAGTTCGCACACGGCACACCCTTGCCCCGTGAGTCCGTGACATGTATAGCGCTGGTCGGCTACCAGGAATGCCCACATCATGCAGAGAACACATGGTGCGACTCATCCCATGCCACTCCAGCCGCTGACAATACAAGCGAGTTGAACTCTCCCCGTGATTTGGCGATTGGCACAGTGGATATTTCACAGTACTGTCAGCCAGACTCTCCGAAATCATACCTTGGACTGGCCCCTTTTGTTGTGGTGTTAAAGGGAAACCAAAAGGAACATTTTATCATTTTCTTGGGTTTCCCTAAAAACAGACAAACCCATTTGAATCATGCGGGGGATTGGCATTTGTTGTTCCACTAGCCCTGATGCGACTTCTAGCTGGCGTTGCAGGTTGGCAAGTTGCTCGGTGATCAGAACCTTGGTGGGTCAATGAGCTGTGCCCTGTCAAAGCTGACATACGCAGCATGCCTTGAATTGTTGGGCCACAAATGTTCACATCCCTCCTTCCGGGTCCTTGCCAACCTCGTCGGTTTCGCCCAGGTCCCTCCACACCAGCGCAACGGCACGGCAGGGCCCGGGCCGGAGGAGCGAAGCGAGCGGAATGCCGGGGCACCCAGGGCACCCGAGTGAGCCGCCAGGCTCCGGCGGCAAACCTCGGCGTTTCACTTCCGAAGTTCCTACAGGCGGCAAACCTCGGCTTTTCACTTCATGAGTTTGGACTTCAAACTCCGGGCAATAGGTTGCTGGAGGCAAAGGACTGGACACCAATCAAAAGGGTCCCAAACGAATTTGAACTTTGTGTCGACCGTAGGGGTCAAACAGTTCGCCTCGCATTTTCTGAGCTCCGCTGGGGAAGTCAGCCTTCGGCATCTTAATGGGCGACCTTACGAAAGGCGACCTTAGGAGAGTCCGAACATCGGTTGGATTGCTTACAACTCAAACCAACACTGTCTCACTTTGTGGTGAAAATATCATATTTACCCGCTCTATATCATATGCATGAAGCTTCATGTTTGTCTTGTTGATGGTGAAACAGTGTGCTTGGAATCGGATTTGACATCGATTCAGACCAATGTTAGCAAGATCAATTGATTGCTTCTCACGCCGAGAGCAATACCCGTTTATGTTCAAAGTTGAGCGTTTTCAGGGCTTTAAGCACAAGTCATGTTTCCAGTTTGCTGTATCAAATAGTTGTTTTGCTTCCTGCGTCTTGCAATCATTGCAATTCACAAGGCATCTTTCATTCAAACTTGTTATATACTTAAACAGACTTTGGCTTAGGTTAGAAGCCGAAGCCAGATTTCCACAAATGATGTGTCCCTGACTGGCGTCCGTGGGTATATTCTGTGTTCCATGCCAGCTGTTTTGAGGGCGGCATGTGACCTCTAGTTGTGACAAAGACTTGAAGTTCATGCATCATTTCCTAGAGCGATTGTTTCCCTATCAGATCAGGCCTTGGGGCTGCGCCGGATGCATTCGCTCAGATAGCACGCTGTTTCATGCTGTTTGACGCATCTCGATTAGATCATAGATTCATCCAACTCGCCTAAGGCAGCCAACGTTGGAGCAGTGATGTTTACGCTCGCGCACAGTCCAATGTTTGGACAACTTTTGCTCAATCAAGCCCATGTTGCCATCAATAAATCCCGATCAATAAATCCCCTGCGATGGAAGACTGTCCTTTTCTTCCCGATTGCCCGCCAATAGTACTTTAAACAGGTCAACAAGGTTTGACCAAACAACACCCCTAAACCATTTTTGGCACCCAGAAAAACCTCCCTTAATAAAGACTGTCCTTTTGGCTCTCCAAAATCAAACAAATGTCCAAAGTCACAAGTTCAGATGGCAAAAGCTGTTGCAAATACTTCTGCGGATACTATTTTGGTCAAGGGTCGCCCCTCCCAAAACCTAAAAAAGCAGCTAGCCGAACGAAAATAAAAATGGCAGAACCGGCCAGAGAGGGACGGAGTCGACCGGAGACAACCGGATTGATGGGGGGGGCTCCTCCAAAATTGTCTGGTCCTTGTCGACATTGAGGGGATCGGGGTGCGGGGGTTATGAGTCCGAGGGAAACATTAGGAAATGAAGTGACCTCTTGCAATGGCCCCCTGGCTCCCTGGCTGTTGATAGCGATAAAATGCCTGGTCAAGAATGTGCCTGCTTGCTTGCGTGGGTGTAGCACACACATACACGCACGGCTTTTTAATTTGGTCAATGTTTGTGAACTAGCTTGCTTGCTTGCTGGCTGGTTGGCTGGCTGGTTTGCCAGTTTGTTTATTTGTTTTGTTTGTGTCAGTGTTAGTTTGTTTGTTGT